TTTTTTGGGATGGATCACACAAGACCTCCTCTATAGTACTTAAGGGCTTTTGTGTGGATGATGGTAGAGCATGTTTGGACTCTCATCACCATCCCTAAGGTGATTTGGAGGTGTCAATCGGCCGACCACTAGAAAATGAAGCCCAACAGCCACCACAAAGATCTATGCTAGAGAGGTTTGCCTAGTGTGTGGAAGTGCGTGTTTGCTCAAGTCCGACAACGATTTCTCTTTTTGATGACTATATCATTTCCAGTTAGATCCTAGCCCCTTCGACGTCTAGACACCCTTCTTTCACATCTTCTAGGTTTTATTCGTGACTGTTTTGGGAGTCTCGTATTGTGGGGTTGTGGCCTTTGTTTCAATTATGTCATGAGAGATTAATTCTATTTGAAGTGATAGGAGTGCTCTTGTGGGTACTCTCAAGCATCAGACGTACTGTGTCCCATTCTACATGTATAGCAACAATGGCAAAATAGGGGACTTTCCTTCAGGCATTAACAACGTCACGGCGTAAAATAATATGGATTGTTAACTCTAGGGTCTCCGAACATATGACTAATTGTCACTAGTTTATCGCTTACACCTCGTGTGCTGGGAATGTTAAAGTGAAGATTGCATATGGCTCCTTAGCACTTGTTGTGAGAAAAACGAGTATTCAAATCTTAGACTATATATTGTTGGAATTTGTATTCAATGTGCCGAAACTTGATTGTAATTTACTTTTCGTTAGTCAATTGACCAGGTAATCAAATTGTTATGCTAAATTCCTCCCACCCTATTGTGTGTTTCAGGATCTATCATTTGGAGTGGTAATCAGAAGTGTTACGGAGTATGAGGGGTTTTACTATTTTGAAGTTGTCACATGAGTTGGTACTATTTTGAAGTTGTCACTTGAGTGGGTAACTCCCCAGCTGTTGGTAATTTTACATCTACCTCTAAAGTTAATGGTTTTATGTTATGGCATAAAAGGATGGGTCATCCTAAATATCATCATCTCTAACAATTGTTCCCAGCCTTATGTCCACACTTGAATGTTAATGAAATTTATTGTGAAGTGTGTGAACTTGCCAAACACCATTCCTAGAGTCAAATACTCACCCACCAAATCGTTCATATCCATTCATAGTAACTTGTGGGGACCATCTCATACTCCCAATTGTTCAAAAATGACGTGGTTCATTTCTTTCATTGATGACCATACTTGTGTTTGTTGGGTTTTTCTTTTAAAGAACAAGTTTGAGGCTGCATCCACATTCATGAGTTTCTTTCTTCACCATGATCAAAACCCAGTGCAATATCACCTTCCTAGTTTTTCATACCAACAATGGGACTAAGTACTTTAATCGATCTTTGAGTGCCTTCCTCCAAATACATGGTATTGTCCATATCAATTCATGTGCCCATACACCTCAACAAAATAGTGTTACAGACAGGAAAATTTGATGTATACTTGATGTTGCTAGGGCACTCATGTTAATTGCAATGTGCCCTAGTTTTATTATAGGAATGCTATTTTGATTGCCACCTACTTAATTAACCATATGCCCAGTTGAATTTTATCCTTTGAGACCCTTCTCTAGAAATTGCCAAGTGTTTTTTTCCACATCCTATATTGAAACTAGATTTCTAATTCAAGTGTTTGGTTGCACTGCCTTCGTCTATATCCGCCAAAGCAATGAACTTGAACTTCGAGCTAGTAAATGCATATCTCTTGGCTATTCTGTTACTCATAAAGGATATAGATGCTTTGGCCTTGTTTCAAAACACACATTTGTTAGCCTTAATATCACCTTCCATGAAGATACTCCTTTATATCTCAATTCTTCAATTTAAGGGGAGAGAACATTAGTGAATCTCAGACTTGGGAACAAGAACCTAATAGAGAACAAGTCCTTCTTGAGCCATGGATTGCACCAACTGAGCCATTACTCCCACCACTGCTGGAACTAGAACCATTACCTATATCTACTTCATGATCATCTACATCTCTTGTGCTACAAGTTGATGAACATTGGCAAATAGAAGGGGATGCAAAAAGACCACAAAGGGGAGAATTGTTAGCGAGCAACTTGTACCCAAGCACCAAGAGAGTCAGAACTAGAGGTAGCTCTTGGAGTAGAAATTCAAGGGGACTTAAAATTTAGGGCTACTCTTGAAAACCCAAAGCTGGATACTACATAATAAGTAAGTGCATGTATTGATGTTGACCATCCTATTACTTTGAGGAAACAACTTCGCTCATGTATTTTTCATCCAATATATAGGTTTGTTTTATTCAATGTACTTTCTCCTTAATACCGGGCTTTTGTTACTAATCTAGATAAGTTGAAGGCACCTGAGATTGCATAGGAATCTTTAAGCATCCTTGAATGGAGAACTACTATCATGGATGAAATGAGGGCCTTAAAAAAGAAGGGACATGGGAATTTCTTTAGCTACCTAAAGGTTTGTTTTATTCAATGTACTTTCTCCTTAATATCGGGCTTTTGTTACTAATCTAGATAAGTTGAAGGCACCTAAGATTGCATAGGAAGCTTTAAGCATCCTTGAATGGAGAACTGCTATCATGGAAGAAATGAGGGCCTTAAAAAAGAAGGGACATGGGAATTTCTTTAGCTACCTAAAGGAAAAAGAATAGTGAGTTGTAAGTGGGTGTTCACCCCAAAATACAAAAGCTGATGGAGCTCTTGGCAAGCTGAAAGCATGCTTGATTGTGAGGGGGTTCACTTAGATGTATGGTCTGACTTGTGAAGAAACATTTGCTGCAATGGCAAAATTGAACACCATAAGTCTATAGTAGCTAATCTAATCTTGAGTGGCCTTTTCACCAACTTGATATTGAAAATGCATTTTTGAATGGAGAGTTGTAGGAAGAAGTTTAGATGACTCTACCTGCCGGGTTTAATAAAGGCAAAGAAGTTTACATGGCTTGAAATAGTACTAAGAGCTTGGTTTGATAGGTTCTTGAGAGTCCTAAGGTTTGAAGGTTAATAGTGGAGGCTGATTTTTTTTCCCAAAATGGCATGAGAGAGATTTCAGCTTGCAACTCACTATTTTCAATCTCCTCTTCCTCAACAAATTTGATTGTGCACGGTCACCTTCATTCACCTCTAGAATTTTCAACATCCTTGTTTTGCAGCGATGGCCAGGCTTGAACTTATTGCCACTTTTGAAACAAATTCCTTCTCCTTGCGTGTTTGTTTCTCAAGATCCCAAGGACTGGGCATTGAGTTTGGGAGAGATAAAGATGCAAAGGAAGTCACAAAAGATGGTGTGTGTGAGGGTAGCAAGTAACATGTCTCACTTACGTGTGCGTCTTGGTTGGGAGAGTGAAATTGGACTGGATACAGGTCGGGTTGGATGATCCACCCCTTTTTGGTCCACAACTCTTCCTTTGATCCCTTTCTAAACACGCCCAAGAGACAATAATCAGGCTAGTTTTTGGCCCTTGCAGAGCTCTTAGCAAACTCCTATCTATAATCTTGCACCATTCCCATTTGCTTGATGCCGCAAAGGTTCTCATTTGGGTTCCAAAATTCAGTGGGACCATAGTGTTCTTGAAGCACCTTTGTGAGTTCTTCCAAATAGAGCAAGGTTTGTTCAATGTTGATCCAAGCAAAGAGATCAAATGCATCTCCTTCAAAGTACATAGCTGCAATATCTACCTTCATCTCATTTGGTGTTTGATAATATCAAAAATATTATTTTGGCCTTCAGAATCCATCCCCTCAGATCTTCACCTTCGAATTTGGGAAATTCTATTTTCATAGATGGTCTCTTTGAGGGATTTTTTGGCCACCAGGGGGCGTCATGATCATTCTCATCATCAAGGCAGGAACATGTGCCTTGCCTTTGTCTCTATTACTTCTTTCCATGTTATCACTATCAAAAGCTTTGAGAGCAGTCATCTCAGTGATAAGATGACCTAATTGGGTAGACATCTTAGAGAGTTGTTGAATAATGGTGTCTGGAAGGCTGGGAAGTTGTTTGGTGGGGTGTGTGGCAACCATCTCGTAACCAGGCTCGGATGCCAAATGGTAGAGTCAAGTGGAAACAAAGCTATACAATCTTCTATCTCTTTAAGCAAGTATCTCACTCAGGAAAACTAGTAGCCAAGTCAAGGAGAATCTCCAAAGACTAAAAGAATACTTGATTAATTCTGAAATTGCCTTCTGCAAACAAGCAGGCCATATAAATAGGCTGAAAAATAAATGAAGACTCTAGAAAACTACCCACTTTCCTGAATTTCAGACTTAGTGGGCAAAACTGACTCATACAGACTTATAACAAACTTCATAATGTTTATTCAAAATAATAACTACCCCCTAAAAGCTAGGACACGTTCAACAAGTTCCTGAACTCGCAAAAAATGAAATATAACAGAAATATTTGAACTAAGCCAGTCACATTTCTTCTTCTTTCTGCTGTACGTGAGTAGTGGTGGCCTTTCAGATTCCGGCATTGAACCAGCCATTCCAGGTTGCAATGGAGGAGTTGCACCATTCCCTCCCTTGTGCGACAACTAACCCAAACCTTTTAAGCCTTCACCAGTCACTGATGATTCACTGCCACCATTTTCGACAGTTAAATGTTCGCAGCTAGAAACAAAGACCAAGACTCTAATACCATGCATAGGAGAAGTAGGCAAGATTCTAATATGATCAAATCACTTAAAACTCTCCTATAATCTCGGAAGACAAAATAGAGCTAAAACAAGGATAAAAATATAAATAAAATTTAGGGAAAAACCGGGTCTCATCCTAAGTGGGTCCATAGCTGATAGCAGGCCCATTTCCAACAGCATCCACATAAACTTTACGGTACAATTTTCTCTTCCAGGGTGCAATTTGAGTGATTAGCAATATAAATGAATTGTTTGCTTAAATATGAGGAGTGTAGAACTGAGTATAATGCCATCATTGTTTAGTTTAAGAGTTTTAAAATTAATTGAATTATTCATGGCTTTTAAATCCTTTTCTTCCTTTTGGGTAAACAAGCAGGAAGGGGCAACGAAACAAGACATTGAGCAGTTGTCAAAGTTCAAATTCCGAAAAATAGACAGTGAGAAAGTTGCAGGTAGTACCCAAGGACCTGTGGGAGGAGTGATGACTGAATGTGGCTCTGATTTACCCACAGAACGCGTTCTTTCTGAGGAGGATGCGGTATGCTGTACATTTTTCCTCCTAGTAATGAATTTAGCCTTTTCTCCCTTTTCTGGTCATCTTCTTGTGGGCCACCACTTGCTTTGCTATAAATTTATAGTTTATGTCATGTCCACTGTTTTCGCAGACAATTGGCTGCGTTATGCTAGTTGGTTATTCTGGGAAATCTGAAATCAAAATTCTTATTTTACAAGTGAAATCAATATTCTTTTATAATTTTTGTCTAAAAGAATATTCTTTTATAATCTGTAGGAATGTTGCATATGCCTTTCTGTTTATGAGGATGGGGTTGAACTAAGAGAACTTCCTTGCGGTCACCATTTTCATTGTGCCTGCGTGGACAAGTGGCTGTATATAAATGCAACTTGCCTCTTTGCAAGTATAATGTTTTGAAGGGTAGCATCCATGGTCAAGAAGAAGTTTAGAAGACGCTAGAAAATAATAATTATAGCAGCCATTTAAGTATTTCAATCCCCTTCTGGTTCAGTTTAATGGGCACAGCATGTTCCTCTACTTCAAAATACATGGTTCTTTCAGTTGTTACTTCTGCTTCTGCGGCTTCTTGTCTTGAAATCCTAAGTGGTTTTTGTATATAAGCACTGCTCACTGCTGTAACAACCGGTTATAATGATCATAGAGGCAATCTGTTTTATGTCTTATATGAATGTAATGATTATTGTTGTCGTCTTTGGCTCATACTTCTTCTAAGCCACATGGTGGAAGGTTTTATAATGTTGCGTTTAGAAACAGACGTTTATTTATTTCAGTTTCTTGGGATATTTTTGACGCAATTCAATCTTCAAAAATTTAAATTTGAAGCTGCATCTGAGGGTTTACATGGTTTGTGGCAACCCTTGCTCATGTTCCATTACGAAAATGGGAATGAGAGAGGTCATTCTAACAGAATGGTCCATTAACTTTTATTTGAGATAATCCACATTCCATCAATAGACCATGGGAATGGATCATTCCCTTGGAATGGATTGGTGACGAAATTATCCTTGTGATTTTTTCAAATTCCTATTTAGCTTAGAGCTCTAATCCATCTCCTTCCTCTCTCCCTTTCCACCACGAGCCCTTTATCCCACATCTCCCAAGTCTTCACCACTCTTCTTCCTTCTCTCCATTGTTCTTTTTCCACCAGTGTTGTCTTCTTCCTTTTCTCCATACTCCTTTTGCCTCACCATTCGACCTAGTTTTCATCCTCCTGATAGCGATGTCGCGTGATCTAGCCCTTCTTCACATTGGTCCCGTCCTCCTGAATGCTATTTGAGCCTCTTTCGTTGATCATCGACCACTTCCTCCTCCCTCTTGATGTTTGAGCCTCCTTTTTTCCTCTTCATCGTTCCATGCTTTCTCCTTGCTTCATCTTCATCAAGTCGCATTGCAAATTACAGCCCAGGTCTGATCTCCATCACTCTCCCTCATCATCACTCTCCTTGCTTCAAATATTAGTCAATTAGAAATATTCAAAATTTTATTATTTGCCTTTTATTTTTTGAGCACTTTCTATTCTCTGATTTTACTTAAAAAACTAATAAAGAGAGATTAAAATTATAAAATAGAATGAAGAAAATTTGAGAAAAATGAAGAAAGAAATTAATTGTTTATAAAAATAAAATAAAAACAAAATATTGCACTTTCATAAATAAATTAAAATATGAAAAATTATTACAAAATAATAAAAAAAGTTAAGTAAATCACCATATTAGCAGTGTATTTTTAAAATACAATCTTATAATATCATTACGATCATGTCAATCTTATTTTCTAACTTGTCCTCTTTTCGAGTACCTGACGAAAGTTATGATTAAGTAGATAGTTAACTATCTATAATGGATTTTCTTTTAATACAAGATCTATAAAAAAAGAAAGAAAATAAATTTAAAATAATTTAAATGAAAGTGCTATTTTCATGTCATGACAAGCTTTGAACGGCTGAAAAAGTTGCAGGGAATGACAAACAAGAAGCAAAGTCTTTTATCTATTTCTTCATGTTCAAAAGCAAACATCACTATCCATCTTTTGTTGCCCTTTTTTTCCTCCCTCGAGGCATGGAGAAGACAAGGACATTGAAGAAACAATCCCTCTATTGCCAATGTGTCAGTTCTCATAGTCTTTAATAGGTCTTATATTGATGTTTTTGTTAGGTATAAGTGTCTTTTTATTTTTTTAATAATCTGATCGGGTAAAATTTATTGCTTCCATTCAAGCAATGTTACACCTGTGGTAAAGTGGGGAATTTTGGATATGTGATAGCATGATTTCTTTTAGATTTGACGAACCTGAACAGAATAGTGTAATTGTCAAGCAATGTTACATACTGATTTGACGAACATTCGGGGATTGAGTCGTAGATTCTACTCTCGTCCTTTTGTTGCTATTATAGAACAACATATGATGACCTGTTATGGTATTTTAGATATGTGATAGCGTGATTTCTTTTAGATTTTATGATTAGCTATGGGAGAGTAGCAATTTAATGGAAACTAACTCACAGCAATTCATTTTTAGAAGCTAGCACTAAGGGTGCCCGATTTCTTGGAATTGCTAATACTTGTCTTTTTTTGTAGTCTCAGTATTGATATGGACTCTTTCAATCTTTTAAATCTAAAGCTTTCCTTTTCTCCTTGGCTAAATTATGTAATTTGGTTTTCTTAATGAAGGAATATTAATTAGATAATGAACTCTAAGGGAGCGGAATCAGAGTCTCATTAGATCCAGGCGTAGTAGAATCTATCGACTATCCACACGAATTTAGACTATTAGAGTCTTCATTAAGATGCACAACAGATACACTAAAGAGAGAAAAGAGAGGAAGAGGAAGAGCAAACACTGAGAGAGAATTGTTCGCTCTAGGGTGAGTTTTTCCTTTAGCCACCTATCTCTATTATGAATGAGAAGCTATTGAACCATGTGCTAAGAGATATTTGTTATTTGTGTAGATTTTGAGAACTATTAAAGTGACAAAACCTTCTAGAGCATAAAGATCAAGAAAAGACTTAGTATAATTGGTTTATTTATTTTCTGCTTTTATATTTAATATGAAAACTATGAGAGTTTAATCACATGTCTTTAAATTGTAAGAATGCATTATTTTATAACCAACCTTAGGCTCATAAGTCCTTTGATCTTAAGCATCAAATCTTTAAAATGCACCTAAACTTATTATTCCAACTCATGCTTGATCTGGCATGATCCACATGTGTTTTGGCTACCCTTAGTACACAATACGATTTAGTGGATCATATTCAAGCCTGGATTAGAATGAATTTCGCTTGAATTAGACATAAAAGTTAGATACTTCACTGTGAGCCATTTGTTAGAAATTGTGTCCTAGGGCCAATCATTGTACCATACACATTGTTTTTTAATGAATTTCTCTTTTGTTATCATATTAAATTGTATGTTCAATATGATAATCGTATCCTTGGACAAACTATAGTGATTGTCCTCAATGTCTCTGGTCGATCATTTATGAGGGATCATAAATGAAACAAGACTAATATAACTTTGATTAATTATAGAGATACGAATCAAAGTCATAAGCACTTGAAAAAGTATAAGGTGTTGGATTGACCCACTATGAGAAAGTTGCACAGTACAAGTTATAAATAAGCTTATCTTGTATGTAACTATATCACTAAACCCTTTGACCTAAGATCATCATGGATTCCTACACGATAACTACTGAACTTTGACCTAGTCAAAAGTCACCTTTGACCGGGTGATCGTAAAGGCTATGATTGAGTTTAGTGATATTCATGCAGAGGAATATAAGTGGTTAAGATGAAATTTGTTCCTCACATTAAGTAGAGATATTATTGGATCCTTTGATGAGTAAGACTAAGAAAATGTATGACCCATACTATAATGAAATTCCATTGCTATAGTCAGTCCACTTAAAGATCGAGATAGTAACAATCAGGTAAAGGAGAATGACAATTTCATGTCTCACACTCGACCGAAATATCGCGTGACAAAAGGGATGTGATACGGTTGCATGATAGGTTACATCAGATCATCGATCCCCATGTGAATTGGATAGTTGCAATGTTTTGCTAGAGGCTACTTGTAACTTGTGGGTTAATAGCATAATTAGCCTACTGCCAACTTCATATGGGACTACAAAGTCGCACATAAGAACAGCCCAACTTTAGCTACAATGCCCAAGTTTATTGAATCTGGAATATGTCTAGATTAAATGAAAATAATATAGGCTGAATGAATTTTATATATATATATTTGATTATTTATTTGATAAATATTTGTATATTTATATGAAATATGAAATTCAAAATATAATTATATATATTTTTTGAAATATATATATATATATATATATTCATATGTGTGTGTGTGTAATCTAATATATATACATATATATGTATGTATATGTATGTGATATATAAAATTAAATATATATATATATATTTAATATATATATATATATATATTAATTAACTATATATATATTAAAATATATATATATATATTTGAAATAGATATGTATATATATTCGTGTATATATATAATGTGATATACATTATATTACATTATATTGTGTTAGTGTTAAATTTAATTTTATTTAATAGATTAAATTTAATAACTAACATGATATGAGAGAATGTCATGTTAGTTTTATAATTTAAGTTTATAAGATAAATTTAAATTAATATAATCTTATGGATTAAATTTATGAGATAAATTTACTTAAATTTTTTATGGGCTTTTAAGTAGAAGGTGAAAACCCTAATTTATATAATACATATAGATAAGGACATGCTTTATAAAGAGAGAGAGAGAGAGAGAGTTAGAAAATTTTTGATGGTAAAAAAAATACTTTGAGAGCCACAAAACACCTTAGAGAAAGAAGAACGGACGTTGGGAGCGCTAGCACGTTATTCGAATTAGAGAGCTATTCATGTGGATACTAGTAGAGGGATCAAATATACATTATTAGCTTCTAAGATCCAAACTCTTGAAGAGAACACGTGTCAAATTCAAAGAATTAAAAGGTAGCTCTTCTATCTACTTTGACTTAAACGAGTTTGTTTGCTCCATATCTGAATAAGGATTTTAAAATTTTAATCTTTTGCTTTGCCTCCCTATCTAACACCACTATATGCCTGAATCAAAGTGATTCGTGCATGTTTTGATAGCTAAGAATGGAAGGTGTCTTAGAGATGCTTCTATGTTTTGATATACGTTTGAGTGCACTTTACAGTCATGCTTGAATTTTTCAAGTGTGTTAGCTTGAGTTTTCATGAGAGACATTCCACACTTGGATCAAATTTATCTACACTTGAAATGTAACCTAAATTTTGGGAAAGTTTGTTGTTAACTCCCAAATAATTCTAAGTTTCACACTATAGATAATGGTCAACCTAGGTTAATTCTATTGAGGAGGCTTATTATGATTAATTAGAGCTAACCAATGTTAATTAAACTACTGAAAGGGTTGATTGATTTGATTTGATTTTCTAAAAATAAAAAAGAAAGCTTTAAAACTAGACTGAAGTGTTTTTAGCGATTTCTTATGGAATGGTAGGATTTTAGAGTTGGAGAAGTGAGTGAGTAATTAGCTTAAGAATTAATTAAGTTGGTTTTAGATTACTTTACCCTCTTGGCCTAAAATGAAAAAAACTAGGAAAATTATCTTTAGCCTCTTAACATTTCTAACAACCTTCCAAAGT